CTTAATCTGCTATAAACATAGTGAAGGGTTGTTACTTTGTGTTAAGTTTTTAGTACAATATTTGAATAGTCATTATATTCATTATTATTTAAAATTACAATTATAATGTTAATAGTTACAGTATATATCACTTATATATCACTACTAAAGACAAATGGCACTTAATATTCATAGCATAAAAGATAAAAGTATCCTCCTAACATCATTAGGAGAAAAACTTCTTCTAATATAAGGATAAGGAGAAAACATCCATTCCCCAACTTTAGGTTTTGTTTTGTTTTTGAGTCTCATTCTGTTGCCAGGCTGGAGGGCGGTAGTGCAATCTGAGCTCACTACAACCTCCACCTCCCAGGTTCCAGTGATTCTCCTGCCTCAGCTTCCCGAGTAACTAGGACTACAGGCACAAACCACCATGGCCAGCTAATTTTTTTTTTTTAAGTGGAAACAAGGTTTCACCATGTTGGCCAGGATGGTCTTGATCTCTTGACCTTGTGATCCACCTGCCTCAAAGTGCTGGGATTACAGGAGTGAGTCACTGTGCCCAGCTCCAACTTTAGCTTTTCCAGCACTATCATGTATGCTCAGTGCCCACCTCACCCCAGCGGCGGGAGAACCCAGCTCCTGTGACAGGCCCTGTCTCCTTCACCACCGCTTGTAAGGCTTCATTCCTGGCAGCAGACAAGCAAGCCTTGCTCAAGCTCAGCGTAAATAACACCTCCGTTTACCCGACATCCCTTAGAGCTACCCTACCCCCATGTCTCTACTCTTCCCCACCAAACTTTCCACCTTCTGACCTCACATTCTCTCTTGAACATGCTCTGGTGAAAGCAGTTTTCATCTTCATGGCTCAGCTAAAATGGCTTGTATCAAAAGCACCAAATACATACCTCTGGCCAAATCCAGTGCTCCATCTGGGCCCTTTTCTTACTTCCTAAGTGGTATCCGTGAACACACTGGCCAATCTCCCTTTTTGTAACATCTACAAATAATTTCATGTGACACATAACAAAATTTTGGTCAGTGACAGGCTGCATCTATGATGGTGGGCCCATGAGATAATAATGCCATATTTTTACTCTACCTTTCTATGTTAAGATACACAAATACCTACCGCTGTGTTACCACTGCATACTCTGTGCGGCTTTGTAGCCTGAGAGCAATAGACTGTGTCAGAAGTATCCAATCTTTTGGCTTCTCTGGGCCACAGTGGAAGAATAAGAATTGTCTTGGGCCGCACATAAAATATATCATCAACATTAATGACAGCTAATGAGCTTAAAAAAAAAAAAACTCATAATGTGTTAAGAAAGTTTACAAATTTGTGTTGGGCCGCATTCAAAGTCATCCTGGGCCACAAGTGGCCCGCAGTCAGCAGGTTCTACAAGCTTGAGCTGAATCATACGGCCTAGGCGTGTAGCATGCTGTCCCATCCAAGTGTGTGCAAGCTTATGCCCACACAACAAAATCTGTACATGACTTCTGTAAATGAAATCTATAAATTTCTCAGAGTGTGTCCCCATCATTAAGTAATGCATGGCTGTATCTGAAACAGCCAAGCTAAACTGTAGCTCTAGATTGGCATACCCAACACTGCTGCTCTCAGTTCACGGCACCACTGTCCTCCACGACACTCAGTGCCCCTCTTCCACTCACAAACATATTCCATGGAATAGCAAATCTCAGCAGCTTCACTGCCAAAATAAACCCTGAGCTTTCCATCCCATCAACTCCTACGGCTGACACCCCAGTATAGCAGCAACACCTCCACCCTCAGCAGCTAGGACCACCTGAAAATAGAGAAAAAATCTTATCATCTCCCATTCACAACCCCCCAGAAGCCACCAGGGTCATTAGGATAAAAACACACCTCCCATGGCCAACAAGACACAACATCTAGCACATCTCAGTCCTCCACACCTGAAATCCCTCTGACCCTGCCTGCAGACTCCATCCATTTTATCTACTTTTGCAGGAACGGTTTCCTCTACATGGGATGTTTTTCCCCTGCATGGCCAGCTCCCTTTCATCTTTCATATCCCAGGAGTTCTGTCAGTTCCTCTGTGCATTTATCCCACCATACTACCAGAAGCCTCCCCTCCAGCCATCCCACTGCCCTTTTCGGAAGCTTCACAGCACCCCTCTCTATCCTAAATTATCTAATTGACTTATGCCTGTGTTAAGTGTCTCCACCCACCAGGATATAAACTCAACAAAGTCAGAGATATATTTGTGTTTATTCAACATTATTGAGCAAATCATTGAATGAATAAATTCCACTTCCTGTGCCTGGCCAAGTGACCAGCTCACTGCTGTGGCTGCTGCCACTCACTCTTCCCAACAAGTCTCTGGGTTTACAGCTTGTTTCTGCCTTTCAGTACTCCTGTGGTGCTTAAGAACTTGCGCCCATAGTGGGCATCCTCTTCAAATTTTCTCCAGTTCTCCAACAGGTGAAGTGCCTTAGAGGGAAGCCCTGACTCCAGTTAATTCTATTCCTGGCTCTGGTCCTAAGACAGATGACGTGGAAAGAGTGTAAGGAATGGGTTGATTAGGGCAGACGTGGAACCAATATGAAGACTTTTCTCATGGTACAGGAAGCAGGTGGTGAGCACTTGAATGAGAGCGCCAACAGTGGAGCTGCTGGAGAGAAAAGAGATTCAAGAGAGGTCAAGGAGGTAGCATCGATCAAATAGGTATGTAGGGTTAAGTGTATCAGTCAGCTCCAGCTGCTGTGACAAAGTACAAAAGACAGGTAGGCTTAAACAACACGGTTTTCAGTTCCAGAGGCTGCAAGTCAGAGATCTAAGATCAAGATCGACATGTTGGTTTCTTCTGAGACCTCTCTTTGTCTTGCAGATGGCGCCTCCCCGCTGTGTCCTCCCAAGGCCCATATGCCTCTCTCTCTTCTTCTAAGGACATCAGTCCTGTTGGACCAGGGCCCTACCCTTCCAACCTCATTTAACCTCAGTCACCTCCTTACAGGCCATATCTCAACATACAATCACATACTTCAACATGTGAATGCTGATGAGATACAATTCCATCCATAAAGGAAAGGACAGGTTAAGAAGCATTAGTGAGGATTTCCAAAATTGCATGATTTGTCTGATTGCTTTTCATTGCTACTGCAGATGTCTTATATGCTGTGCACATTCATGTTGATCACATAGGATCATTTTAGAGGGCAGGAAAACTTCTTCTCCATCTCAGTAAGCGGCACCAAATTCACCTAATTTCTTAATTCACTAATAATAACAATTACTGATACATATATTCTTATTAGAGGCCAGATTCTGTTCTAAACGTGTGTGTGTGTGTGTGTGTGTGTGTCCCATGCACGCTTACAATCCCCAGTCAAAGGAGATACTATGATCATCCCCATTTTACAGATGAGCACAGACAGGTTAAATACCTTGTCCAAATTTACACAGCTAGTACGGATCAAAGACAGGACTTGAGCAAACATAGGCTCGGCTCCAGAGTCTTTGCTCCTAAGCCCTATGATATAATAGTTCTCTTTTTTCTCACCCTCCCCACATTCACTCCATCAGCAAGGCCCCAGTTCTACCTGCAAAGCACTGCTCAAATGAACCTGCTCCTCACATCTGCCTCCACTCCTTTCCAAGCCCATTGCGGGCCTAGCTAACACAAACGCCTGCAAATTCTTCTCCGTGTTTCAGACTCTTGCAACCCTATAGCCAATCTCTATATACGCAAATCATATCATCCTCTCTCTTACCCACCACAATCCCAGAATTCCACCCAAACTCCTCACTGCGCAGCCCGTGGGGCCTGCCCTGACCTGCTTCCTGCAGAGCTCATCAACCTCCGCCCCACTGCTCTTGCCCTCTCTTTCTGTGGTTGCCTGGAGGACCACTTTGCTCGTCCTGGATCATGCTCGTGTATGCCTCAGGACCTCTGCACTTGCTGGTCCTTTCCACTCAGAACCCTTCCCTCCTCCCCTAAATTCTCACAACTTACTTCATTAGGTCTCTTCGCAAATGTCATCTTCCTCGATTAGGTCTCTTCCCAAACATCACCTCCCTCAGATTAGGTCTCTTCCCAAACATCATCTCCCTCAGGCGTGTCCTGTGACCCCACGTGAAATAGGCCCCCTACCCGCCGGTCAGCCTGTATCTCCTCCCCTTGTTCTCTGCTTTCTCAGTGGAATGCTGCTCCATTGGGCATTATGTTAAATATGCATGTGCTCATCATTATTGCTCTCTCGTTGTGGAATGCCTGTCCTACCTGGACTGGAGGAGCGAGTGTTGCCTTGTTTCCTCACTAGAGCCTAGACCTGTGCCAAGCACATAATTAGAGCTAAATACACATGTATTGAATAAATGAATTGGTTTCACATTTTATATATTGGGCTTCCTTTTTGCTTTGTTTCTAAAGGAAGTGTCTTGTGGGCAGTGGAGGTACACACTCAAGTGGCACGCGCACCAGCTCTCCCCAACTGGGACTCAGCTCATTTCAGTGTGGACTGCAAGTGCTGCCCGCCTGCATCCTGGCTTTGTCAGCTCCTAAATAACCTTCCCCGCAAGGCAGATGCCATGCTTCCTTTCACGTGGTGAGAATTACTTAATGATAATAATTATCATGGCTGTTTTACAACTGGCATGAAAAGAATTCATGCAGATGATGTTGCCTTTGAAAACTGTAACAGGATAAACTATTAAAAGTGTAACCACAAGAAAATACTTTGGCCAAAACCGGAGAGCCACAAGGTAACAATAGTACACGTGGTGCTTTGCAATACTTCCAACCACTGCTTTGTGTCACCTCCTTTCAGCCATGAGGAACAGCTCTGACACACGCCACCCCTGTGAGCAGCTGGGGCCTGTGATGATGACCGGGAACTCGCACTCTCTGCCTCAGCTTTTGGTGGCCATCTCTCATTGAAGGGCTCCGGGTATGTGGTTCAGTTTCATAAGCAATCCTGGGTCTGGGTAAACATGCTTGACTGATTAATGATAACAGCTCTTAAAACACCACAGACGTTTCCAGTGCCCAGAAATGTTTATTTTTTATACTAAATTAAATTCATTTTCCTTCTCATTCCCTCTAAGGAAAATGTTGACAAATTTAAATTCAGAGTGGACTGCTATATTGAAGATGGCCATGTGCCACAACCTCTAAACAGGCTACGGTTTGGGAATGTATTTCATCAGGAGGATGGTGGGAGGGAGGAGATTTAAGGGCTGGGAAGGAAAGCGGAAAGCCCTGGGCAAGCACCATGCCGGTGAACATTAGCACTGCACTGATGGCACTGCTCACAGAAGGAACGGTAAGTATTTTGTATTTACCAAATACAGTCATGATCAAAGGCAACTGATTATGGAATAATTTAAAATATCATCAAAAATAAAAAATCAAGTCCATCAAAAATAATCAAGTAGTCATCATGAGTAATAATTTCTTATAGCATATAACAAATACTTATCTATAATGGAAAAAGAAAAGGAAACAAATATTTATGGAATACCTACTTGTGCCATGCATCAAGATGCAGACAAATAGAAACATTATCTCCATCAAGCACATTTAAAAAATTGAAACAGAGTGGTTAATTTTCCCAAGGCAATATGGGCAGAACTAGGATCTAAGCACCAGCCTGTTGGATCCAGAGCCCATTTTCCATCTGTTTATGCATGTCTACACTGACGACATTAACAATAGATACTTATTTGTATGCAGTATCTATTTTATTTCTATAAATCATTCTGGCCATTTCGTGCTAATAAATTAATTACCTCTTTTAAAAAATTATATTCAACTAGACAGTCATCGCATCCTGACTGGTGTGGGTTTTTCCATATTATCATGGCGCAGGTAATTCCCACCAGCTGTAAGTTGTCCAGTGGAGAGATCCTTCCAGAAGAGTACGTCCTTCCAGAAGAGTACGTCCTTCCATGGACAGCTGTCCCTGGCTTCTGAGGATTATAGCTCAGCTGTATGATTTAGAAATATGCATGGACCGCAGAATGAGCTGGGGCAGGAAGACACATTCACATTATTGTGAATATCATTTTAAAACACTGAGCTGAAATAAACAATAGTTTGCAAATCAATTTCAAAGGACAATTACATATTGATGCTTCTCTTTTTTTTGTGACTAAATTTTTGTGAATTTAGTCACAGATGGATTTGCAAAGGCACCCACAGTCACGAATAAAACAGGAAGATGCACAGCACAGCTGTGAACCCTCTTCTAAAGGAAAATATTTGACTCCCTGTTCAGGATAGGCCATTACATGTGTTGGGTGAATCATGATGATTCTGATTTTTCCACATGTTGAAGACAGGCATATAATTCCTTCACTTCAGAAAATGGGCATAGATTTTAAGATTGAGGCAAGCTGACCATATTTATTGATTTATTCCTCAATAAGCATTTGATGCATTCTCAGTTCAGCTTCAGGATAACAGTTCAGCAAGACACTCACCCTGCCCTTGAGTAGCTCCATGTCCAGCATACAGGGCACAGATAAAAGCGGATGAGTGATCCTCATACATGATTAGTGCCAAAATATCAGTGAAACGCTATAAGCCAAAATGCTATAAGCCAAAGACTAGCTAGACACATGTGCGGTGATTGAGAGCAACCTCCCCTCCTTCATAAAACAAAAACGAAAAAAAAAATACTTGGCCTACCCTAGTAAACATAATTGTATAGTTAGCAATTAAATTCTTTCAGTTAAGGCTTTTTCTTCTGTCAAGAGGAACATGTTCCTGGAAAAGTCATAAAAACTGCACTACCAACTTTCTGAAACATTCCAGGCCTTTCTGTTCTGATGTCTCTGATCACAAAGAGCCTTTACCACAAATGGTCGTTTCCTGCCATCTCTGAATGTCAAATTCTTACTCATTCTTCAAAGTCCAGTAGAAAAGCTGCTTCCAAGAAGCCTCTGGAACCCGTAAGCTCTGTACGCCCTGAGCCCGCTTTCCTATAAATGCATTCCCTTCTAGCCTATGTCATGGCTATTTTTTCTGATTTTTTCTTTAGGAACACATGGCTCAGGTTGGGGCTATTTGAAAGAAAAAAGGCATATCTTCTTCTTTTTTTTTTTTGGAGAATCTCTCCCACCAGGGCAGCTAAGTTGGGGCCCTGAATTTCAAATGAAAGCCCTCAAGCTGTGAGTGGACCTCCCAACTCCAGGACAGTGGAGTCCAGGGCTTTCCAGGACTCTCCCCTCTCTGCCCACGTCCAGCCTCTGAAGAGACCAGACCATCCGTGGAGCCCTGGAGCACAGTACATAGGCGTCTCCCATCCATGAACCCAAGTTAGGATCACAGTGCACATGAGGGTCCTAATTAAGGTTAAACTGTACGAGATGGAACAATACCTGCTCTGTTTGGAGATACGGCAATGTATCAGTCTGCTGAGGCTGTGTCAGGCTGCAGTCACAAGCAGCTCCAAAATCCCTGGGGCGTCATGCAACAGAGGTGGCTCTCACTCCTATTACGTCCATGTTAGCTGTAGCTGAAGAAGCAGGCTTTATCCAGATTCATGCAGGCGTCTTGGAAGAAAAAAAAACAAAGGCAGATTGTTTTAATGATTGCCATTCTAACCAGCGTGAGGTGGTATCTCAATGTGGTTTTGATTTGCATTTCTCTAATAATCAGTGATGATGACGATAGACTGGACAAGGAAAATGTGGCACATATATACCATGGAATACTATGTAGCCATAAAAAATGAGTTTGTGTCCTTTGTAGGGACATGGATGAATCTGGAAACGATCATTCTCAGCAAACTGACACAAGAACAGAAAATCAAACACTGCGTGTTCTCACTCACAGGCACGTGATGAACAATGAGAACACATGGACACAGGGAGGGGAGCAACACCCACTGTGGTCTGTTGGCGGGGGGCACAAAAGAGGGACAGCAGGGGGCTGGGGAGGTCGGGGAGGGATAACATGCGGAGAAATGCCAGATGTAGGTGAAGCAGGGATGGAGGCAGCAAACCACATTGCCATGTGTGTACCTATGCAACAATGCTGCATGATCTGCACATGTACCCCAGAACCTAAAGTACAATTAAAAAAAAATAAAATTAAAAAAAAAAAAGGCAGATAACTTCTGTCATGCCATGGCACAGGACATTCACTTCTGCTCTCATTCCACTGTCAAAGCAAGTCACGGCCAAGGCTGACGTTAGTTGGCTGAGAGTGTATCACTTCCCTCAGTGGGAGAAGCCTGTCAGACGGTCAGTGAATATTTTAACAGCAATTTCATCTACCACAACATGTGAGAAAGATTTGGATGCTGAAGCAATCCAGAGAGAGCACCAGAGAGACCAGCAGGTCTCCGTTGAGTTTTAGTGGAAATACACTCATGTCATTGACTGGTTCTAGGCCTTAACTTTCTCATCTATGAAATCAGAGGTTTGGTATATGTGGTGTCAAGGTCCCTTCCAGCTCTGACACTGAGCCCAAAGCCTTGCAGAGTGGTGATGTATTTTGGTATTTTAGCAAGTGCCAGCATCATTTCTATATTTCTCAGAGACCTCAACAAGCAGGGTGCTTGGAAACATTTGCACATTTGCTGAATAAATAAGTTAAACCCTACGAATAACTTACATTGCTGTGAACTGATTAGATAATTTTCTGGAAGCCGCTTCGATGGATAGAAGATGCTAACAAACGTTGAGAGCTATGGGTCTGGTGGTGAAAAGACAGAAGACAAGAAGAGAAGCAGACAGACAGCGGCATCTGAGGACCACAGGGGAAGGCTGGCAGGTCGCAGCTGCCCACGCTCTGCAGGTCATTCCTCCAGAGCTGCCCTGGGATGGACAGCAGATGACAGCGGGTCACAGTTCTCGATTTCACTGTGGCTGGATTCCTTAACTTACAAAATCTAGAACCATGTACATTTTGAAACTATTGCAAATGGAAAGAGACTTTTTTTCTCGGTTCCTTGCTTTGTATTGGAAAACTAGGTAAAGAACACACTCCCAATCCACTAGAATTCAATGGCAGGAAATGCTGCAGTGTTGTACAAAAATGAAATTCCTGATTTTACTGTGAAAAGGAAATGATAGCTTTTTTACTCGAACAAAATACTCCATTTGCCAAGAAAATGTCCTCCACTGGAAGAAGCTGGCTAAGAAGAAATATACAGTCAGTGCTTTGGTTCCCATTCATTCTACCTTTGTGAAGTGATGAGAATTTTTAAAATATCTCTCCCATGATTTCCACAAATACACAGAATTGCTCTTTGAATAATTATAAAGCATCATTTGAATTTCATATTTGCTGTTTGGCTGGAGCGATGGCTATTCATCTTCTCTTTACCCAGGCCATTCTTCCTGCCCACATAATCACAGCTTAGAGAGACTGCTGGTGAGTTTCCTTCCTTTGCAACTGTGGTCCGCACTAGCTACCCAATCAGTTCATTTCTTGGTTGTAAGAATAAATACAATGTGTACATTTACTTCCTGTTTGCCCATGCAGCATAAAGGAGATCAAAAAATTTAGTCTGGTTTTAGAGGTAAAAAAGATTTAGGCTTAGAAGAGATAAAAGGTATCCCAAAGAATCGTGGCCGTCTGTTTTATAAGCTGGGATGCCACCGTGCTGCCCAAAAACCCAACCTTGTATTCCCTTCCTGCCTTAAGTTCACCCTGATGGGCTAGAAAGCTGCAAACGCTGTGATCTGAGAAGTGAAACAGAAAGCAAGTGAGGCGAAGCAGGAGTCTGTATACATGTTCCCTGAAGAATCCTTTGTTTTCATCTTCCCGTTTTCGGCTTTCAAGAGCTCCGGTCACACCAGTGATTTGAACATTTCAGAGAAACACAACTGAGGGAAGGAGCCTGGGCACCCTGCCTTGTCAGCCCCCTGGAAGACCTGGCTTCTTTCCTGACACTCACTCTGGGAGGGAAGACACCCCTGTTCCTGTCTGCCTGATGGCCAGTGGCTTCCCCGGTCAGCTAGGGCATGTTAGCAAGGCATACACACCGCTTGGGAAACATTGATTCTTAGGCCTGACACTTTAAATCAAAAGCTTTTAATCCTTTTCTCCAACTGACCAGAATACCGGTGTTTCAGGTGGTTGATGTTTCCCATGGGGAGGGGGGTTATAGGGAACGCTGATCAAGCTTATCGTATAAGATGGGAAATGCCACTGGAACTCTCAAGTGTCACTTCGCCACTCAGCATCCTGCCCTGAAGCACAGCCGTACCCTTGGTCAGAACATACAGCCCGGCCAGGCTGATCCAGGAAGCCAGCTCAGACTATTAGCATGCAGTTTTCCTTGGAGACGGGCCATCTTCACACTGTGCCTGTGTCCCCTCCCAGCCTTCGTCCCTGCTCCCTACCCACGACCCTGCCTAGGGTGCCTTGGATGGATCTCTTGCCATTTCCTGCATTCTGCAGGAGCACTAATTGAAAATTTGGGTGGCCTTGCTTATTTATTTTCCTGGAATGCAGTGGGTTATATTTTCATGGTATTTTCTCAGCAGTGCAGCGTTTCAATTTCAAACTACAACAATAAGAAGAAAAGCCAGTCCCCGTCAGCACGCAAACACACAACAGAAAAAAAGAAGCGTCCCGGGTTTGACTTGCAGTTCTGCCTTTATAAATTGTAACTAAATATAAGCCACCAGAGATGCCTGCTTTTTTCATGAAACCAAAAAGACAAATTTACTTCTTCAGGGAAAAAGGGAAAACACAGTGATGTGCTCAGTTGCTATGAAAAGCAAAAGATAAACAGGAGGTAATATGAAAAGTTATTTGGTACAATTGAACAATTGATGCTGAGTGTCTAAAATCATCATAAAATGATCTGGTTCTAATTTTTGGTCAGAATAATATTTAAAAAACTAAAATTAAAAAGGAGCTTTCTTCATCACCGTAGCACTGGGGTTCCATACAAATTTCAAAATGTCTATGTTGCACCAGCATTTTTTGTTAGGAATATGAAGGTTGACAGTGAAATATTTTATTTTCTCAGATGCTATACCATGTCACGCTAATAATCTACCACCGCTATAAACTTTGTATTGACTAACATTCACAGAAGGCTCTGTTTCAAAAGGATTTGTGTAAAAACACAATTTTGGCAAAAATTAAATTTATATACCTGGCTTACATAATTTACACCTTAAAACTGACTTTTGATTTCATCTTGGATGTATGCATCTTTAATTTCTAAACGAATACAGAGAGAAAAAGTTGTTAACATCTGATGCATTTTGCATGAAATACATTTTTAAAAAGATTTAGAATGGTTGAAAATACATACACGTTTAATAGACTTAGTTATCAAAGATGATTACTTTAATTCAATTCCCTGAAAATGTGTCCATTTGAAAGGCAAATACATTTCCATTTTTCAAGCTTTAAAATGAGGCTGTAGCTAGGTTATTTTCTTAATCTTGAGAGCTACTTTCTCTTGGTTTATATGCATTTCTGCCGCTGGTATAATTGATGAGCATGCTAATTGTGCATCAATTTACCTCGAAATGGAAAATAAGACCTTTCTGTGGAGCAAAAGGTGGCCATGTCTGTGAGCTGAAAGTAAATAGCTGGAAAAACATTGGATCTATCATTTGGGCAACTGATTTGAGAAAGAAAAGAAACTTCATTTGTACATATTCATCAAAAAAATTAATGGTATAAATTTGCTATTTTTAGTTACTTTTTATAAATTGGTGATAGCACTAAATTGTCAAATAATCAAATTTTATCTTTACATTTAAAAAATCATGTAAAGGTATCTGACTTCTTGGGTGAGAAAACATATTAATGCCTCACTGTAATTCATAAATAGAACTTTTTTCATACATATTTTGCCTTAAAACTAAAGATGTCCAAGAGGGGAAAAAATCTGCTCGGACTATGCAAATATTGCCAGGTTAAAGTACTTATTTTGAATATGTGAGCTAAATAACATAATTAGGGTTTTTCACATGATGCTGCTCATGCACGTGAAATCAGAATTATAAGATATGCTGTGCATATAATGGCAACATTTTATATTTTATAGATCTTCATAGACTATGAAAGTATTTTTACATATGTAATTGGGAATCATAATTCTCTGAGGTTCGCTTGTTTAAAAAGTATATTAAACTAAATAAGAAAAAGATAAAGGAAAATGTTTGTTATATTAAAAATATACACACAGTAATAGAACCAAGTATGACAGATAGGAAATGTGTTGCAGTTTAAATAAAGAAGAGACTTAACCTTGGACGGTCCTACAGAACATTTAATCCAGCATAGAGGAGGATGCCTGCAGTTCCTCCACTCTCCTGAGCAGTTTAGAAAACAAGCTAGAAAGCATTCATTCACTTGGTAGATTAAAATATATTTTATTTAGCATTGTTTCTTTTCATTTAGCCTTTCTAAATTAAAAAGTTAAATGCAAATCACACTATTCATCACCATGTCATTTTTTTTTTCCTGGTAGTGAAACTTTGGCTGATTCTGTCTTGTTATATTAAATTATATCTTAAGAAAATAAATGACACCTGGGTTATAGTCCATTTGGCTGCTTGGGTTTTTGTA